TTATATCTGATCAAATGCACATTATTATTCTTTAGTTTGGGTTAAACAAATCAATTTTGCTTGGTTGGAACAGCAGCTACGCTAATTATGTCTCTATTTATTTCTCTATTTTTAACTAGGATGTACACAAGCTTCAGTCTAGATCCAGAACACCTGAGAAGAGATGATGCAACATCTCAGAGGACCTCAGATGATGCCAACCCTGAAACAACTTACAGAACTACCACATTTTGCTATAAGTTTGATTGCATCATATAATAATTGCTGTTAATATTGTTCATCGTCTGTTTTATTACGTCTTAAATTGATTTTTCCGTACTGCTGGTTCGTCTGGTCAGAGGAGAACTGGCCCCCCGACTGAGCCTGGTTTCTCCCAAGGTTTTTTCTCCATTCTGTCACCGATGGAGTTTTGGTTCCTTGCCGCTGTCGCCTCTGGCTTGCTTAGTTGGGGACACTTCATTTCCAGCGATATCGTTGACATGATTGCAAAGATATTATTTAAACTGAGCTGGATGTTGACATCACTGAATTGAATGATGAACTGTCTTTAACTGAAAAATGAGTGTTTACTATTGTCATTTTGCATTATTGACACACTATTTTCCTAATTAATGCTGTTCAGTTGATTTGACACAATCTGTATTGTTAAAAGCACTATATAAATAAAGGTGACTTGACTTATGCAAAAATTCAAACAACATGCTTATTCTGACGTGTACATATTAAAATATATAAAAGAATAAGGGAGCATAATAAATTTGATTGTGTTTTAAATGAGTAAAAAATTCTTACTGACAAATGGGCAAAACCTAGGATAGTGGCAAATTTCAAAAATTTAAAAATACAACTAATTAGTATTTGGGGTGAAAGTAATTAGTCTTTTAATATGTCGTAAATTGATTTTTGTTGTAAATATGCCCGACAAGACTGTTACACTGAATGACATTTTAGTGGGTTTCTTCTGTAAATCAGGGGAAAATGTATGATATTTATTTTTTTGCTCAGAAAAACAAAAACAAAATTGCAATTAAATTAAACATACATTTTTGTAAAAAAAATTATTTGGGAAAAACAAAAACAATTTAAAGCAGTATTACACTTATTGATGTTATGCTTAAATCCTTTTTCGTCTTTGACCCTTATTTTACTTTTAATACTTAAGTACATTAAAAATCAAATACTTTTGTACTTTTACTCAATTCAAATGGAAAAGGAGTACTTAATACTTTAACTGGAGTACAATTAGCGTATCTGTAATCTGACTTAAGTACTTGCTTTGTGAACTTCGTCCACCACTGATTATAGTGAAGCAACTATCACCCCCCACTGTGTCCAAGCTTTCCTCCATGTCCATCACCTTTCTTTCACTCTGCTAGAGTGGCTGCTACACACACAACCTGCAGATGTTACACTGAATGACATTTTAGTGGGTTTCTTCTGTAAATCAGGGGAAAATGTATGATATTTATTTTTTTGCTCAGAAAAACAAAAACAAAATTGCAATTAAATTAAACATACATTTTTGTAAAAGCTAATTTGGGAAAAACAAAAACAATTTAAAGCAGTATTACACTTATTGATGTTATGCTTAAACCCTTTTTTGTCTTTGACCCTTATTTTACTTTTAATACTTAAGTACATTAAAAATCAAATACTTTTGTACTTTTACTCAATTCAAATGGAAAAGGAGTACTTAATATTTTAACTGGAGTACAATTAGGGTATCTGTAATTTTACTTAAGTACTTGCTTTGTGAACTTCGTCCACCACTGATTATAGTGAAGCAACCATAACCCCCCACTGTGTCCAAGCTTTCCTCCATGTCCATCACCTTTCTTTCACACTGCTAGAGTGGCTGCTACACACACAACCTGCAAATTAACCCGCAAAAAAAATGCAGCTCTGTATAGAAACAGATGCTAGGAAATTGGTTTTGTGGGGTGTTTGTGCTGTACAAGGTTTTTGGAAGTGAAAAAAGAGCCTATGAATGAAAAATTGCGGGGTTTTTTCCAGTTGCCATGAATCCTTAATAATAGTAATAAGTCACTGCCAGGAAAACAAGCATTCAAATGCAAATACGGAATTAAAATTAATCTGGGGAAAATAAACAAGCTTAAAGAGTGAGACAGCATCAAATTGTCAGCTCACATCCTCATCTCATACCAGCTATATTAACAACTATATTTTAATGCTTGTGGTGACCCAAATTTGTCATAGCGCTGCTCTGCTGCTCCACAAAATCTCTACAAAAATTCTAAACAATAAGTTTGTCGATTACAATGTAGTTTCCGTGGTTAAAAATTCCTTGTAAGATCACAAGCAAATCTGCATAAAAAATCTCTGCAATTACATTGTGCTTAAGGTAATCACAGCATGTCAAATCTAAAGCACTGTGACTATGGGGAAAACACAATGCTGCATTACACTAATGAGTATGGGATCATATATTCCCCTACAGAGAAAGAAATATAATGAGCAAGTTTCACAGACTGCACAACAAACTCCCAGTCTGTAACTTAATAAACTCAGCAATCAGCTCTAACAATAAGTGAAGATAGGCAACCGTGTTTCTCCATTCACCATGTGCTTATCCAGATGGCAGCGAGAACCGAGGTTTCAAAAAGCCTCCAATCAGACCTGTCTAGCAGCTTTAACTAGAACAAGCTGAGCAGCCTGCCAAAGTAAAGCATTTACAGGCCATTTCATATGAGAGGAGCAAAGAGTACAGCAAAGCCCCAAAGAGATTTCAAAGAGATGCTGGCTTCATCTCAGAAAGATACAAGTATCACAGGAACATAGTGACAATCTGACAACTAATTTGTTCATTCAAGACCGCTCGTATGTGGTGGATTTAAATTTTAGAGTTGCTTGCCAAGGCAATCTTCACTTGGCCCTAGAGTGTTAGCTTTGGTGTGCTTGCCCTTCAGTCATAAATGTACAGGAATGATACAGTCTCTCAAATCATGCTACAGTATACGTGTTTTGCCAGACAAACCAAGAAACCAGAACATCATAGAGACTTTGGGGTGGGCTCTTCTGGATGCATTTCCCATAAGCATCATTAGGCAATTATGGCTTCAACGATTCAGTGTTTCCCGAAACCATAGTTCAAATGAACATCGCAAACTAACGTGGTTAATTAGTCATGTGGACTTTAATAAATCATGCTCTTGAGCACAATAAGCAAGCTAACATGCATGCTATCTATATCTTCAATTCCATTTAAATATACATACATTTCAATCTATACATATTAGCTTGTCCTCGATGTGCTGTTTTCGAAGAGTGTGCATGTGCATAAATGCGCAAAGGAACCTGGATTATGACGTAAAAGTGTATCCGCGATGAATCAAACATCAAATAAAGCAAAACAACAACCATGTTCGTTACGGTGGTATCTCTGAGATCTCGATTCGATGAATTAGTAGTTAAGTTATTACTTCACCACCTACGCATATCATTAACAACCATCTTATCTTGTTGAACCAAAGTGGTTCAAAAAACGGAGATGCGACCGTGTTTGGGAAACAGTCGTTAGTTTCTAGCTAGTAAGATTCTACAGCGACGCATCGTACTAGAGTTGTTAAGCAGTACGTTACACCATTGTTTGGGAAACGCACCCCTGATCAGTAAGTAATATCCCAGCAACCATCCAGAACACCATTTCAACCACACATTTAAAGTTAAACTCTAGTCCTGGCGCACATATGCCCGTGAGCGCACACACGTACACCGAACAGGTGGCACGGCCAGAGAAGAAGCTGCAGCAGATGGCATCATGCACCTGACTTACACCAAAACTACTATACCTTCAATTAGATTTCTATTAAAAAAATATCATCTACATGGATAAATCCTCCAGTATCTCCGAGATGTTTAGGATTGCTTAATGAAATACTAAAATAGCTGTGATATAGTTGTAAAACTAAATGGACCGATATTACAGGACTGTAATGAGATGTTATGAACACTTTTATAATTGGATTTAAACAATATTTAATAAAACTAATATAAAAGCTTCCCTGCAGGAACCAGGTCATACCAAGGGTTTCTGGAACCGTAAGGTCCAGAACCAGGTTTAACAGCTCTAAATAGTTTAAAGGGGTCCTATTATGCATTTTCACTTTTTCCACTTTAGTTAGTCTGTAATGTTGCTGTTTGAGCATTAAAAAAAGTCTGCGAAGTTCAATTCGATCTCTCAAAGTCCAATTCAAAAAAAGATATTTTATTTAACAGAAATCACTTTTCAAAAACTACAACGAACGACTCGTTTGGACTACAACGCATATTTTCCGGGATTTGTGATATCACAAATACCGACGAATGGGACGAGACCTGGTTGAGCTGCACTAGAGAAGGCAACGGGTGTTATCACTATGTCAGAGACACGCTAGCTTTCCCAAGGCAGATGAACTTAGAGTGGTTACAATCATCCGGGTTTAAATCGCGCTCAAATTGATTTGAATTTAACGCAATATTTACACTGAAGCTCGCAGGCGGCTATGGTAAGGGGCATGACATTTCCCGACCAGGCGCCGAGTGCTGCCAATCACAGCACACACTGGCCCAGCTAACCAATCACAGCACATTTCGTATTTCAGAAGGCGGGCCTTCATTTGATACAGGAACTATTCGAGCCGTTCATGCCAGACTGGGGAGAGAGGTGTTGTAATAATGTAAAATATGTGAAAAATAATGTGTTTTTCGAACAAACTAGTATGAGAGCCTGTTCTAGTACACCCCCTCAAGACTTTGTAAAAGAGCATAATAGTACCCCTTTAATTAAGAAGGTCTACCAGGTCAACTTGGGCCTCAGCAGATTTATTCCTAACGATTAAACATCTACTGGCCAGCTACTGATCATATATTATCAGCTTGGAGCAGCTGGAAACAATTTAAACCAACTACCACCTGGATTTTCCAGCAGGGATTTTCTACAAAGTTTAATGCAAGCAAACATGCCATTAAGAGTTTTAGAAAATATTCATTCCTAAACGTACCTTGATCCAATATGATGAGCTGAGCACCTGCCTGGACATTGCCAGCGTCATTCTCAGCTAAACACTGATAGAAACCTTCATCTGACTTGACCAGCCCCAGCACCTGCAAGTTCTGCTCCTTCTGTAAAGAGGCACACAAGAACATCGCTGTCATCTAGAAGGAATACTGTATTTATCAGAAGGTCAACAGCATTTCCTCACTCATGTAGGGCAAGCTGGCAACTTACAATGATCTTGAAATAGTCGCTGGGAATGACGGCATCTCCGTTCTTCACCCATTTGATGGTGGGAGCGGGTGAGCCGGTGACCTCACACTCGAAGATGATGTCTGTGGCTTCATGAGCATATATGTTAGCTGGTTTCTTCAGGAACTGTGGGGAAGCTGAGAAGAAAAGCAATAAAACAAAACAAATCATGTGAGCATGAGAAACTAAACATTTGTTTCTTCAGAGAAATAATGTTTCAAATGTCTGTATAGCTTAATGCCAGTAATGATTTCGGGAAAGCAATATGATTCGATTAGGAAAAGAAAATGCTGCTTTTGACTTTTCCCAACCTCTAAAAATACCCTAAACACCAGGATGTGGCTAAAATATGTTCTTCCTAATAGCCAGAGGAAAATGCATAACCTCCAAAGGCTTCCCATTAGCAAATGAGGTTATTTGATCTTGGAGAAGATAAACAGGACATAGATAATCTCAATAACAAGGTAGTGTGCACCAGAATGATTCAGGCCTGTCTGTTGGGATGTAATTGGATTGTTGCTCTGTGCTGAGCCTGATTCTCTACCACACAACCACAACCCTCAGTTGCTGTGTATTTTATACGAATTGCACATTTACAAAGCATTACTATCACTTGCATACGATTAATACACTTGCTCTCACCCTTGCATAAATCAGTAGTACTGACTGAAGGCTCTGATATTTAAATATTTAAATAAAAGTATGAAATAGATATTTGTTGCTCAGACCATATACAGTACATTTAATTATTTTGAAAAAAGAGAAATAAGCATAATTACAAATAAATTGCACAAAATAAATAAATAAATAAGCTGCACAAGAAAATATTTAAAATGTAACGGCACATTATAAGTGATATTAACGATTTCATAAATACTTTATGTTCCTAAAACCAACACAAAAATGTTTAGAATAATTGAATGGAATAATTTAATGAATGATATAAATATAGATGTATGTATAACCATAATTCATTTATATACATAATTAACAAATAAACTTTACAGCAAGCCCAGCACATTATACATTAGATAAATGATAAATGTATATAAAATATACATAAATTAATATTATAAAATACATTGTTTATAAGGTTAATTGAAAGAAAAATTGGCATTATTACAAATAAACTGTACAATAAGCAAAAGAAAAGATTTAGAATGTGACATTACATAAATGATACATGTAATTCTTAAATATTATACTATAATATATTATACGTGTACACATATATACGGTATATATTATGTATATTATATTATATATAAAGTTCTATGTGTGGAAGTGAACAGAAAAATCTAAATGTATAAATGTCAGCAAAATGAGCAAAGGGTAAAAATAGCAAATAGAGACTACAGATTGTCATTAACATAAAATAAGATTTATAAGACTGTCAATAAAATTCTTAATAGAAAACCAGCCAAAAGAGAGAATGGCTACATAAAGTTATGGCTAGATATAAGTTGAGCTAAAATGAAGCCCATTGGATGTTTTCCAGATGAGCTGGGTTCTACAGGATCTGGAACTGTATATCTAACATAAGTTGCAGCATCAGGGCCAAACTGACAGAGGTAAGGTGATGAATGGCTGTTAGTATGTGCTCCTGCAGTTTGCTGAGGCCTGCACACACAACCTGCTGAAAAACACTTGTCACACACTGCTGGGTTCCTGCTCACGCCAGCTCCACACGGGACAGATGGTTTGTGTTTCAATCACTCAGTATATCTCACACACATAAACCCAGTAGCACATAGGCAGGGCAGCACTCATATCGGTGGCCACTGACTGTAAAAATGTTGCATCAGCTGCAAATATACAGATAAAGGCTGTGCTGCTGTTTGATTGCACACACGTTTGCATTTTTGTTACACAACCACCCTAAGCCATTTTTTTCATATTAAAGTCAATATGGAACACAATTCACAGCCTATTTTACTTCCATAGTCTGATAAACTTCCTAGTATGAAATATGTTACAGCAGGACATGGTTTTATGATCAGGGACTGGCTGGATTATACACTCTAAAAAATGCTGGGTTATAAAGGGACAAACCCAGCTATTGGGTTGTTTTGACCCAGCGGTTGGGTTCAAAACAACCCAATAGCTGGGTTTGTCCCTTTTTAACCCAGCGCTGGGTTATATTTAACCCAGCATGTTTTAGAGTGTAAAAAGTGAATGGAGAGATATATACTTGCAGTTGAAGAAAAAGGCAGAATTGTGAGATAAAAATGACCTTTTTAATTTTATTATTCCGCGGAGGAAACAAGCTGCCATAGGTTACACTCCTTCTAGCGGGAGATTATAGTGATGATAAAACATCTCAAATGACCACAAAGCTCTTATCACCGCCTTGCTTGCAATCAGGAGCATTTCTCAGGTTTCCTGCTATATTACAGACAATGTCAAAGCTCAACACACACTGTTGTTTCTATTCATCTACCCTGCATTTCAGAGTAGGCTAAGAAACAGCAACCTACAAGCTACTCCCTTATGTTTTGCGTAGCACAGAAAAGACAGTCTATCAAAGTTTAATAGGATTCTGGGTTTCTCACCTACAGTACAACGAAAAATCAATCTGACCTGCTCACACTAGCACACATCTCTCTGCATGTTGACTAGTAATGTACGCAGCAGAATGTATTCATAACTCTCCTGCGCCCACTGGTTGACATTTAAAAACTGAGCAAAAAAGACATGAAAGTCATTGTTTTATTTCACGCTTGAAACAGGAACACATGATTGTTTTGGATGCAATACGACCTGCTCTATCAATAGCATTATGTTGATCACAACAAAACAATTTTGATTTGTTAAAAAAAAACAAAAAAAACAACTTGCAATAGGAGTAAACAAGAGTGTCCAAAGGGTTTCCATGCAGAAAGATGAATTATTCAACATGCATTATTCAGCATAACCTATTTCTATTTGAGCTGTGAAGCATTTCTAGAAGTAGGACTACTGTTCTGGGCAAATTAACTTCTGGTTGTGTGTTACCAATGCAATTCCTCTGAGTGTAGTATAGTTATAAATATTACATAGGTTATTCAGCAATTCAATCACACTATTTTCATGCCAACATGCATTATGCTGAAGTCTTGTGGCTATTGCTTTTAAAACAGTGTGTATTTTGCTTTTATGACCTGCCCTTACATAGGTCCTTTTGTGGAAAAGAAGTACACTTTATCATACTTAAAAAAAAAAAAAAAAAAGGAAAAATAGGGAAATTATATACTTTAGAAGAATATACTTCAAAGTGGGAACCGAATGTTTTTGGATACTCTACTTCATGTTAACTGAAACGAAATGAAAATGTTTAAGAGTTTACATTTATATTAATGCAGTAAGTTGGAATTAAAAGTGTTTTTGACCCACTTAATTAGAACATAAGTAGATCTTTGTATGTTATTTCATAATTACTTATATTGTCTTTGAAATATGATTAAAGTGTACTGTTGAATGTACTGACAAGCATTTATGGTAAACTGAAAAATACTTGAAACTTGTATGTAATGTATTTAAATATTTTTGTAATTACATATTTTAATAAAATTATATAAAATAAATTACTAAAATTATAATCAAGTATTTTACACATGCTTTAGCATGTTAGTCAACACATCAATATAAGTGTACTTTATTAAGGGGAAGTCGTGGCCGTTGGGTTGTTTTGACCCAGCTATTGGGTTGTTTTGACCCAGCAGTTGGGTTGTTTTGACCCAGCTATTGGGTTTGATTTGACCCAGCGGTTGGGTTGTTTTGACCCAGCGGTTGGGTTGTTTTGACCCAGCTATTGGGTTGTTTTGACCCAGCTATTGAATTGTTTTGACCCAGCGGTTGGGTTGTTTTGACCCAGCTATTGGGTTGTTTTGAACCAGAACAACCCAATAGCTGAGTTTGTCCCTTTTTAACCCAGCGCTGGGTTATATTTAACCCAGCATGTTTTAGAGTGTAAAAAGTGAATGGAGAGATATATACTTGCAGTTGAAGAAAAAGGCAGAATTGTGAGATAAAAATGACCTTTTTAATTTTATTATTCCGCGGAGGAAACAAGCTGCCATAGGTTACACTCCTTCTAGCGGGAGATTATAGTGATTAACCCAGCGCTGGGTTATATTTAACCCAGCATGTTTTAGAGTGTAAAAAGTGAATGGAGAGATATATACTTGCAGTTGAAGAAAAAGGCAGAATTGTGAGATAAAAATGACCTTTTTAATTTTATTATTCCGCGGAGGAAACAAGCTGCCATAGGTTACACTCCTTCTAGCGGGAGATTATAGTGATGATAAAACATCTCAAATGACCACAAAGCTCTTATCACCGCCTTGCTTGCAATCAGGAGCATTTCTCAGGTTTCCTGCTATATTACAGACAATGTCAAAGCTCAACACACACTGTTGTTTCTATTCATCTACCCTGCATTTCAGAGTAGGCTAAGAAACAGCAACCTACAAGCTACTCCCTTATGTTTTGCGTAGCACAGAAAAGACAGTCTATCAAAGTTTAATAGGATTCTGGGTTTCTCACCTACAGTACAACGAAAAATCAATCTGACCTGCTCACACTAGCACACATCTCTCTGCATGTTGACTAGTAATGTACGCAGCAGAATGTATTCATAACTCTCCTGCGCCCACTGGTTGACATTTAAAAACTGAGCAAAAAAGACATGAAAGTCATTGTTTTATTTCACGCTTGAAACAGGAACACATGATTGTTTTGGATGCAATACGACCTGCTCTATCAATAGCATTATGTTGATCACAACAAAACAATTTTGATTTGTTAAAAAAAAACAAAAAAAACAACTTGCAATAGGAGTAAACAAGAGTGTCCAAAGGGTTTCCATGCAGAAAGATGAATTATTCAACATGCATTATTCAGCATAACCTATTTCTATTTGAGCTGTGAAGCATTTCTAGAAGTAGGACTACTGTTCTGGGCAAATTAACTTCTGGTTGTGTGTTACCAATGCAATTCCTCTGAGTGTAGTATAGTTATAAATATTACATAGGTTATTCAGCAATTCAATCACACTATTTTCATGCCAACATGCATTATGGTGAAGTCTTGTGGCTATTGCTTTTAAAACAGTGTGTATTTTGCTTTTATGACCTGCCCTTACATAGGTCCTTTTGTGGAAAAGAAGTACACTTTATCATACTTATTCAGCAATTCAATCACACTATTTTCATGCCAACATGCATTATGCTGAAGTCTTGTGGCTATTGCTTTTAAAACAGTGTGTATTTTGCTTTTATGACCTGCCCTTACATAGGTCCTTTTGTGGAAAAGAAGTACACTTTATCATACTTAAAAAAAAAAAAAAAAAAGGAAAAATAGGGAAATTATATACTTTAGAAGAATATACTTCAAAGTGGGAACCGAATGTTTTTGGATACTCTACTTCATGTTAACTGAAACGAAATGAAAATGTTTAAGAGTTTACATTTATATTAATGCAGTAAGTTGGAATTAAAAGTGTTTTTGACCCACTTAATTAGAACATAAGTAGATCTTTGTATGTTATTTCATAATTACTTATATTGTCTTTGAAATATGATTAAAGTGTACTGTTGAATGTACTGACAAGCATTTATGGTAAACTGAAAAATACTTGAAACTTGTATGTAATGTATTTAAATATTTTTGTAATTACATATTTTAATAAAATTATATAAAATAAATTACTAAAATTATAATCAAGTATTTTACACATGCTTTAGCATGTTAGTCAACACATCAATATAAGTGTACTTTATTAAGGGGAAGTCGTGGCCTAATGGTCAGAGAGTCGGACTCATAACCCAAAGGTTGTGGGTTCGAGTCTCGTATACGGCAGGGATTGTAGGTGGGGGGAGTGAATGTACAGTGCTCTCTCCCACCTTCAATACCACAACTGAGGAGCCCTTGAGCAAGGCACCGAACCCCCAACTGGTCCCCGGGCGCCGCAGCATAAAAGTGGCTGCCCACTGCTCCGGGTGTGTGTGTGTGTTCACTGCTGTGTGTGTGCACTTTGGATGGGATAAATGCAGAGCACTAATTCCGAGTATGGGTCACCATACTTGGCAACATGTCACGTCACTTTAAATGCATGACATATGATTTTTAAAATATAATGACTTAAATTTAATTGATTTGATTAGTGAACTCACTGTAAATACACTTAAGTGGCCGTTTATTTGATTGGTATTATATGCAAGTACAGTTTTTTAAAATATACTTTATACTACAAGTGCACATTCAATAGTTTTCACTACTTAAATGGGCAAAGGGACCACTGAAATTATTTTCTGTGACAATCATACCATAAAAATATTTTCTTAATCTTAAAATTTTCATAAAAACATAATTTCTGATGCCAGAGCGTCTCTATTCAGAACACTGACAAAACAGCCCATGTTGAAAGAAAAACTTAGGAAGTGTTTGACACTCGCTTGGATTCTGGGAGCTGCTCAGTTTGAGTTTGGCATTGCACCTCCTTTGTGAGCTGCTGGATTTACTGTACTATCGCTCCAACACAATACCTCTCCCACCCACAAAGGCAAAAGCAAAGGGCCTAAAAGTAGGGGCTGGGTGCCCTCCAGTATCTTTCATCTTTTCATCTCGTCACAGTGTAGGATCAATTCCCAGCAGATGGACAGATGGCCAAAGCTCATTACACTCCACATATCTGCATGAAATCTACAGCCCAGATTCTATTCTATTCTCTGTGATTTCACACCTGTCTGAACCATCTCGCGTCCCTTTTATCATCACACAATCACATCTCACGCACTAGTCAGTCCCGCCCAAAAGCTACAGCTTGGGCAATTACAGAGAACCCAATAACTGTTTCTGTAAACGTGTCTGAAGTGTGATCAGAGCGTGCAATCAAATTACAGAACTTAATGTCACCGAGAAAATGCAACACTTCCTCTGAACAGTACTAGACGAAAGAGCTTTACAGTGTGACGTGACAATCACTTGACTAGTTCTTTATAAAGCAGTGATCTTACCTTTCAGCGTGAGCTCAGTCTGGGCCTCAATGGATCCGTTGGTGTTGTCTGCCACGCAGCTGTACACACCGGCGTCTTCCTCAGTGAGATTGAAGATCCGCAGACTGCCTCCGCCAAGCACTTCAAAGCGGCCCTTGCTGTGTGGAGAAGAGAAAAAGGTGATGTCAATAAGCTCCCTGCAGAAAGTTAAATGTATACTTAGCCCAACGCTAATTCAAAAACTGCATTATATATGGTCCTTCTAGCAGTGCATTCTAGCAGAAAAGGGCAGCCTCAACATTGTGGTGTGTACATGGTGTGTTTAGCTGTAAAGGTAAAGGCTTGGTAATCAGAAGGTCTCTGGTTTGATCCCCACCAGGGGCAAAAAATGAATGGGTCACCATTGTGCCCTTGAGGTCACCAAGGCACTTAATCCCAGGGTGCTTCAGGAGGATTGTCCAGGTAATAATTGTACTGTATGATGCTTAGGATAAAGGGGATTTTTCCCTAAGAGGGTAGTGATAGTAGGAAAATATTGTTAGTTCACATTAGAATGTCAAGGTAACTATATTATTATTATTATTATTAATTTCATGTAATTCATGTTACATGAATACAAAAGACATCACTGAATATTTATTTATGCATTTACCATTTTTCAGCCCTGTTACCAAAAGTTGTCTGAATACAAAAGACATGTCTGAATTTGCTTATTTATTTGCTATTTTTCAGCCGTTACCAAAAGTTGTCTGAATACAAAAGACATGTCTGAATTTACAAATTTATATACTATATTTTCAACCCTGTTACCAAAAGTTATCTGAATACAAAAGGCATCACTAAATATTTATTTATGCATTTACCATTTTTCATCCTACTGTAGTTATCAAAAGTTGTCTGAATTAGAGCTGGAGCTATCGATTATTTTAGTAATCGAGTATTCTACCGATTAGTCCATCAATTAATCGAGTAATCGGATAAGAAGTAATTTTTCTTTATTAAAGAACAATACTAAATATACAAGAGAAAATAAGATTTGAAGAAAACTAATTTGTTTCCTTTTCAGAAAAATATATTTTTTAATTAATAACCGTAAAAACTAAACCCATTTAATGCATTTAATTGCCAAATTACGTTCAAAATGCAAATACAAATATCAAAAAAAAATAAATAAATAAATAAATATATATACACTGAACAAAATTATAAATGAAAACACTTTTGTTTTTGCCCACATTTTTCATGAGCTGAGCTCAAAGATCTAAGACTTTTTCTATGTACACAAAAGGCCTATTTCTCTCAAATATTGTTCACAAATCTGTCTAAATATGTGTTATTGAGCACTTCTCCTTTGCCGAGATAATCCATCCACCTCACAGGTGTGGCATATCAAGATGCTGATTAGACAGCATGATTATTGCACAGGTGTGCCTTAGGCTGGCCACAATAAAAGGCCACTCTAAAATGTGCAGTTTTACTGTATTGGGGTCCGGAAACCAGTCAGTATCTGGTGTGATCACCATTTGCCTCACGCAGTGCAACACATCTCCTTCGCACAGAGTTGATCGGGTTGTTGATTGTGGCCTGTGGAATGTTGGTCCACTCCTCTTCAATGGCTGTGCGAAGTTGCTGGATATTGGCAGGAACTGGAACACGCTGTCGTATACGCCGATCTAGAGCATCCCAAACATGCTCAATGGGTGACATGTCCGGTGAGTATGCTGGCCATGCAAGAACTGGGATGATTTCAGCTTCCAGGAATTGTGTACAGATCCTTGCAACATGGGGCCGTGCATTATCATGCTGCAACATGAGGTGATGGTCGTGGATGAATGGCACAACAATGGGCCTCAGGATCTCGTCACGGTATCTTATGTTCAAAATGCCATCAATAAAATGCACCTGTGTTCGTTGTCCATAACCCGAATCATTTAAACGGTTGATTCATTCAGGAACGAAACAGCGTCATGTTACTCAGAGATGCAAAACAGTGCTGTGTCTGTGTTTGGAATACTTTTTTGTTGGTGAAATAGAGCAAAAACAGGCAATATAGTATCTAAAACGTAAGTCTCTTAATATTAACTTCTTGTTTATTGAACTGTTGCATAAAATCAGTATCACATTTGTAATCATGCTGATTTTTAGAGGAGAAAACTGGCACTCTTCGTGTGATATTGACTAACTTTCTTTCTGTGGTATTTTTATGCATAATTGTATGGGGAGTGTGTGTTTGTGTGTCACAGAGAGAGAATGAGACAATCAACATGAATGGCGCTTAGTCTTTCACAAAACTTAGCTAATTTAGGGACCATAAATTACCATCATCACCATATCATAACTAGCCACCATATTGATTTACGGTCTTAAATATGTCCAGCGTTTATCAGGCTATCCATCAGTAATAATGGTCCGTGGGGAAACACAGTGCTCCGTGTGTAGTTACAGTCTATGGTAGTTACAGTACATGGAGTAAACGAAGCCTCGAGGCAAATAATTTGCCTCGATGATTTTTTGTATTCTAGTTACTCGAGGAATCGTTTCAGCCCTAGTCTGAATACAAAAGACATGTCTAAATTAATGTATGTATTTGCTTTTTTTTCCAGCCCTGTTACCAAAAGTTGTCTAAATGCAAAATAAATTTCTTTACTATTTTTCAGTCCTGTTAACAAAAGTTGTCTGAATAAAAAAGACATGTCTGAATTAATTAATTAATTTACTATTTTTCAGCCCTGTTACCAAAAGTTGTCTGAATACAAAAAAATGTCTGGATTTACTTTTTATCAATTTTTTTTATCCGTTACCAAATGTAGTCCGAGTACAAAAGACATGTATACATTTATTTACTATTTTTCATCCCTGTTACCATAAGTTCTCATTTGTAGTAATTACTGAACTTTAAAGTAAATAATTATATATTTTTCTTTCTGCTAACGGGGTTGAATGGCTGTGCTTGATGAATGCAGTCAACATCACAATTTGGGTAGAAATTGAGAAAATTATTTCTGCAGCAATTCATTTTTTTCTTTGCCTTACTGATAAACTATCAACATTCAGCTGGGTGAACTTTCAACATAGGGCACATGCTGTGATGCTGGGCAAGGAATCAATGCTTTACTGTCTTCTTGGAAGGCTTTGTGGCTTTTGTAAGAGGCAAAAATCAGTGGATAGGAAGGTCATTTGGAACGAGAACAAGAGTTCATACACAATTTCTAAATACATTTTTCTGCAACATGAAAATAGGGTTATTTGGAGAATAAACCCTCTTAAATGTCTCTCTACTTACTGGTGTGTGTGTGTGTGTGTGTGTGTGTGTGTGTGTGTAAAACTTGTTTTTGATATCCTTCATATTCTATGTACTGGTCAGTTCACAGCAGTGATAGAAATTAATCTGTTCCAATTTCTGTTTTCTGTTCTTAATCAGTCAATTAGAATAATAAGACATTTGGGCTGTTACCAAACAAATTATATCAGTATCAACCAAATTCATCTTTGCAATGCAGAGGAAACACAGAAGCTGCATCTTCTGAAGAGGCATTTAGATGTAGGCCTATTTACACTATTTAATTCAGCTCAGAGGGACATGAATGCATTTAACCTGCAGTTACAAATGCATAAAAAATATTTTGTTATTTTAAACATAAAACATTGAATACTGATATTTACAATTATTTAAAAAATGAAAAGATCATTTAAATGTGAAATTAATACCACTAGTAGGTCACTGTTAATAAGTGATTCATTGCGATTGAACCGAATCATTTAAACGGTTGATTCATTCAGGAACGAAACAGCGTCATGTTACTCAGAGATGCAAAACAGTGCTGTGTCTGTGTTTGGAATACTTTTTTGTTGGTGAAATAGAGCAAAAACAGGCAATATAGTATCTAAAACGTAAGTCTCTTAATATTAACTTCTTGTTTATTGAACTGTTGCATAAAATCAGTATCACATTTGTAATCATGCTGATTTTTAGAGGAGAAAACTGGCACTCTTCGTGTGATATTGACTAACTTTCTTTCTGTGGTATTTTTATGCATAATTGTATGGGGAGTGTGTGTTTGTGTGTCACAGAGAGAGAATGAGACAATCAACATGAATGGCGCTTAGTCTTTCACAAAACTTAGCTAATTTAGGGACCATAAATTACCATCATCACCATATCATAACTAGCCACCATATTGATTTACGGTCTTAAATATGTCCAGCGTTTATCAGGCTATCCATCAGTAATAATGGTCCGTGGGGAAACACAGTGCTCCGTGTGTAGTTACAGTCTATGGTAGTTACAGTACATGGAGTAAACGAAGCCTCGAGGCAAATAATTTGCCTCGATGATTTTTTGTATTCTAGTTACTCGAGGAATCGTTTCAGCCCTAGTCTGAATACAAAAGACATGTCTGAATTAATTAATTAATTTACTATTTTTCAGCCCTGTTACCAAAAGTTGTCTGAATACAAAAAAATGTCTGGATTTACTTTTTAACCATTTTTTTTTATCCGTTACCAAATGTAGTCCGAGTACAAAAGACATGTATACATTTATTTACTATTTTTCATCCCTGTTACCATAAGTTCTCATTTGTAGTAATTACTGAACTTTAAAGTAAATAATTATATATTATTCTTTCTGCTAACGGGGTTGAATGGCTGTGCTTGATGAATGCAGTCAACACCACAATTTGGGTAGAAATTGAGAAAATTATTTCTGCAGCAATATGCAGCTCTGAGGCCAAACTACTGGCATCCGTCAACAGAAATCCAACACCAAACTACCGGTGGCGCTGACCCAATCTGCCTCAGAGCAGCCAGCCTGTGATTGATGCCGTCATAAGATACAAGTGAGTGAGATGAAAGGCTTCCTTGTCAACAGCTCGGAAGGTTCTGGCATGGTCTCCACCCTTAACTGTTCAGCTCCATGGCTGTGACTCCAAACAGAGGAGCAACTAATGCTGTGCCAAGACTTGAATGAGGGTAGTGACACTATTCCTTCTGACGCCACCAGCAAAAGTCGTGTGTTACTCCACTGGAAAATCCAGTCACAACCAGCTTTTGAGGCAACTCCAGTGTTAAAACCGTTTATTTTTTTATCAATGTACGGCAAAATATGGTTCATTGCTTATTAATATATGAAAGAAAGAAAAATCAACTGATATCGACA